CTATAAAAATATTAAAATATATACATATATTCAAAAATAAAAATATCTGTATTACATTAATATTATTAAATATTTGTCTATTAATATATATATATATATATATATATATATATGTATTATAAAATATTTTTATTAATATTTATATATATTTATACATATTTATAATTGTTGCGATATAAATAAAATTATAAAAATGTGTTTAAAAATTATAAAATTGTGTTCTGTATATTTAATAATATAAATTAAAAATGAAACATTTTAACATAATAAAAGAAACATGATTTATCTATTAAAAATGTTAGTGAATTTTTATCTATTTTTATAAGTACAAATGTGTGTGTGTGTGTGTGTGTGTGTGAATATTATTAATTTCTTTTTAACTTAAACATTAATTTTTCAATTAAATATATACAGATATAAAATAAATGTTGAATATTTTTGATCCATCCACATTAATAAAGATTTTCTCTCGCATTTATTTATTTATTTCGGTAGGGGAGTCAAGGGGTTTTTGAAATGAAATCTCAAGTAAGAGATTATTTCAATTTTCAAAGTCTTGGTTAGTACACCAAGAGTAATACGTGCCTTGTGCACGGTTTGTTTCCATAGCAACATCCGCGTTTGGTTCTTCACGCCTTCTTACAATTTAGATTTATATTAATAAAGATTGTTTACCTGGAAATATTAAATATTACAATAATATAATAAAAATAAATAATATAATAAAAATATAGAATACAGAAAAATAAAACTGTTTTACAATATATATATATATATATATATATATATATTTTAATATAGATATTATATAAAAATTTTCAAGTATAACATTTTTAAAATATTTAAAATTATATCATATTTAACATTTTGTAAAATATTTAACATTTATAACATTTATCCTTTATTATTTATGCTATAGAATATGCTGTATATAGCATTTTATCTGTACTGTACACCAATACAAAATACTACGGAATCACTAATAAAATAGATAATATATTAATTTGATAGCGGAAACAAAACGCAAAAATATTACAAATTATTTACATTATACGCTGCTACCATAGAGATATTATATATAGAGGACGCGAGTCGTATGCTTGCCCGTAAGTGAATGCGATAGAGGAATAGAAAGAGAACGCTGCATAAGGGCCCCTGCTGTCTTTGTTTAATCGCGCATGCGCATGGCACACGTCCCCCTTCTCTCTCTCTCTTCTTTCTCTGCTCATCTCTATGCTTGCTTCTTCTTTACAAATTATACACTTTTTTGTCATCTTGAAAGTTTGTTATATTAATTTGTTATAAAAACGTAAATCTTCTTCTTATTCTGCTAATACTTGAGCAAAGCAAGCACGAGAGCTATAGCCGAGCCTGCCGAGAGCAAAGAGATGAACAGAGAGAGAAGGGGGACGTGTGCCATGCGCATGCGCGATTAGACAAGGATAGCAGGAGCCCATATGCAGCGTTCTCTTTTTATTTCTCTATCGCGCTCTCGACTCTCTCGCGTCCTCTATATTTAATATCTCTATGATTTCGTTTTTCCCATTGGGACCGCTCGGCCGCTGAAGTTTTATTATAAACGTAAAAAAATAATCTGTTGCAGTTAGATATTTCATGGAAGAGTATATTTTACTCGAAAATATTATGTTTGATTCTTCAAGTAGTTCCTCTTCTTCAAACAGTGATTTATTCTATTTTATGTATTTAATTACAATAATTACATTTAAATATTTTATATAATAACTATACATATATATTTTACTAACTATTTATCTCTTTCATACCTTATAGCAATTTATATCTTTCGTACAAGTAGCACTTTTTGTTTTTCACAATCAATTTCAACGGTCCCAGTGGGAGAAACGAAACGCAGCACTGGGAATTACTGCCAACCTAATTTTTTTTTAATACTGCCAATTTTATTTTTTTCCCCAATCCCAATAAAATGTATTTTTGAACGCACCCTATGTGAGCGGCTAACCCAACCTTATCCGTTCATTGCTGCCCATTTTCTCAAGTTTATTAAATATTTTTATTTTTACTTTTTTTCATAAAATAGCTCTTTAGAAGACTACATATAAGCTTACTGATTAAGAATATCCTAAATTTAATGAGATTCATTTAGTATTTTGGCTAATATCTAAAAATTAAGGATGTGTGACGTCCCGTCTATTTTAATTTTTTCGCTCTTGGTATAATTATTGCGCGCTATTCATATTCTCGTAGAAATAAGACTATTAACAATTATTATATCTTACTAATTGCTCTAATTCGACTATTTTTGTATTAATAGTTAAAACCATCAGATCTGAGGTTCTCCGCCTAGAAACCAAGCACCTCTATCCAGTCCTAACTACGCGACCAATCAGGCATCATCTAGGGACCCCAGAGACAGCACGTAACTAGCGGAACTAACCAGATATTCCCTAGGAACTCTTATTGATACATCTCTATTACAATAATATTCAACAATATAAATAATAAGTATGACAAATATTAATATTATCCGGCACAAGATTTAAGGACTAAGAATATTAATCTACTCCCCCCTCCCCCCAAAGTAAATTACAATGCAACGCGATGTACTAATGAGTACGTTTACACGGCACCCTTAATCGGGTTTAATAACATTTGTAGTTGTAAGACTGGCCAATCACAACCGTTCCATTCTGCAGGGGAATGGCTGTGATTGACCAGTTTTATAACTATAGATGTTATTAAGCCCGATTAAGGGTGTAACCGTACTCCGTGTAAACGTACTCATTAATTCTAAAAACGACCTATTTTTTAATCAGATTTACAGAATCCTACTCACATCAAAATTTATACGATAACTAAAATATGCTAATTCCTTCAGAGTTCATACCTAAACAAAAACATATGATTCTGTAAGTACGATTAAAAAGTTACTCGAGTACACATTTTGAATGTGTAAACCTTTCAATATTGCATTAATGAATTATGGATCCATAAATAATAAATTATAGACCTTTTGATTAACTATAAATATTATATATTATAAATAAAATACTCCATAATTGATTAATTAATATTACTAATGCGCAAAAGACCAAACGAGAGCAATGTATGTACCACTAGACATAAATATTCGTAGAAATCGACTTGGCGAGACGATGACTTGTAATTTGACCTCGGCATAACTCCCTTGCCGCTTTCCTGAACTTTAAGAAAGAAACCAATGCTCTACGCCAAAGATTTAGAAGGCAAAATATTATTTTTTTTTCATTGTAAACTAAACTCTCATTTATTCTAAGCTACAACTCAGACTATCAAAAGCGAGCCCTTGAATCTTTTACAAAATAACGTTGCACGGTTTAAACAATAAAACACAATTATTATCATAATAAATACTTAAAGAATTACAATCTCCACATTGTAAAGGCTATTGGGGCACGCGACTTAAACATTTTAGTACAAATTATAATGACAAATATTAACGTTTTATAAAATAAGCAATTCATGAAATTATTGTAAAGATTTCTATTCGACTATTAAGAATTATAATTATTCTGTGCCAACGAATATCTTCGCTGCTGGACCATCCTCTTCGCCGTTGTACCCCCTCTTCGATGATGCAAGCAGAATTCTTAGAAGAGCGGAACAATAAACCTGTCAAAATCTAAGCATGCCCCGGTTCTCCAAAGGGTATATAAACCGCGGATTTTGCGTTCTGCGAGCACTCCGTGTTAACTTCTAGAATAGAGCATTTCGTATTACTATTTTCCAAAGCCTACACTTAGCCGACTACTGTTAATCAAGTTTTTCGTGTCAACTTGTACTTCGATCTTTTCGTGATTTTTTTATGCTAGTCGATCATTTTAGTTAAACTCATCTGATAGTCTTAATTCTTAAACTCCAATTGTACGATTATAAGTCACAGACTTAGAAATTGTTCATAAAGGAAGGAATAAAGAATTAAAGTAACATAAAATCAGTGCACGTCTGTTTTACCAACTCCATCCTGAGACCGAGGTCCTCCAGGAGAGCTACAGCCCAAGCATATATAGTCACTAAGAATAACAGAGAAGATTTTCATCTCCGTGTGGAATCAAGTGAGAACTAATCTCTTTAACTCTCAGTTTAATTTTATCATTTTCTAATAATACAATAAGAATGAACATACCCCTGTAGATGACCAACCGGAAAAACAAACTCGTCCGTAAGAAAAAGCGTACTCGCTCTTCATTAACTAAGAAATATAGATCTATCGCGAAAACTTTATCAAATTCTAAAGGCCTAGTTTACATCAAGCACTTGATACGCGTATCAAATAGTAAATTACTAGTAAATTGGTTCAGTTATTGGCTGACCAGTTCAAATACACTAATTAATACGCGTATCAAGTGCTTGATGTAAACTAGGTCAAAGAGAGATTATCCGGAGATAAACAATTACCCGAGTCTCAAGGGGAAATCTTATCTTTAACCTTAAACACGGCAGGATATGGACTACGCAAGTCACCAAACCCGTATGAAAAAATATTATAAGGAAACTATAAAGAAAAATACTGGAAAACTACTGAGAGCAATATAGAAAAACTATTTAAACACTATTGAAAAATACGGGAATACTATTGTGTGCGTATTGCAACACTATTAAAAAACTATTGTAAACCTATTCGTGAAGTATAGTGTCATTCCCTGTAGTATTTTCGTCAAGAACTATTGAACAATTGTAACAAAACTATTTATGAATTATTCGAGCAAAATTTAATTATCTATTTCAGTGACAAAGAAATGAGACTGTAATCAGATTTAATATATTTGTATTTCACAAATATTATTACAATGCATGTGTAATAATATAATATAAAACATCTTGAAACATAACAGTATTATCAGTCAATTCTCGATTTATCACAGACAAAATGATAAGTTGTAATACAATTTATGATATTTAAAAAATAAATAGTTCTACTATTTATGTTTACAATACAATATTATTTATATTAAACACATACAAGAATATATAAATTTAAACTTATAAAGAATTTCACACTTATGATTAAAATAATAAAAATATTGATTAATCAATTTCTACAGTATTTACCAAAGGCACAATATATAATTTATCTTCTTTATAAAATATACTACAACACTTTTTATCAAAGTCTGAAGGAAAACAAATAATATCATTATTTGTTTCTCGTGCTATAAATGAAAACATTTTCGTTGATATACCTTTGTGCTTACAAAGTTCTTCGTCTAATATTTGAAATTTTTTACCAAGGACAATATAGTGTGTTGTTTCTAGTATATTAATTAAAATTAGACCTGAAATTAGCATTAATTTTCCATTATGTAATATCACTGTGCTATTGTTTCTTTTAATAAGACGAGAATATTTGTAACTATGATAAAAAGTATTTTTATAAGAAAATCTATAAAATAACTTAACGTTTTCTGTTATTGTTTCTTGTAATAACTGCTCAACCAACAATTTTTGAGACAATGATAAAGTTATATCTGCAGGTTTTCCAAATATTCTCAAGTCATCTCCATATCTTATACATTTTATAATTTTAGTTTCTTTCATAATGTTTTTAAACAATTTTTTTCCTTCTTTACTACAATTAGGCTTACTAAAGATTTCTGAATTTTTTTTTATATATCTTATTCTGGAATAAATTTTACAAATTTGTGATGGCACGTATTGACTTCCATGAAACATTTTTGCTATTATACCATTAAAATGCTCAAATGGAAATGCTGACCATGCCCATACAGCACCGTATTTTCTTACATAGTCTGGCATATGTAGCATCATATGTACATTATATTTCATGTTTTCTTTTCCATAAAGTAACTCGATATTTAAAACAAATTGATGAAGTGCTTTTTCCGCTTTATCAAACTCATTGTCTGTAAATTTTGTTTTGGAAAATATATAAATGCTATATACAAACAGTAACCAATGTTTAACATATTTCCGTGGCATTATATCAATCAAGCAAATGAGCGAATAATATAATAAAAAAGATTTCCATTCGTTTGCCTTCCATTTTTTATTTTTTATGGATTGTGGCGTTCTTGTAATTTCACATGGAGGCCGTATAGCCAATAATTTATTATTAAATTCACTCACTCTTAAACCTAAATACCAATCTTTATTACTATTAGCTGAGTCAAACCACAATGTTCCAAATAATTTTGTGACACCTAATAAAACTGAATGCATATATTCTGGTGGAAAAGAATGAATAATATGAAAAGTAGATAAAAACATTACTATTGAAGGTCCTTTAACACCTTTTATTGGTCTTCCTTCATTAATAGCTTTCTCAACGTATTTATAATGCTGCTTCATCCTTCGCATTGCTTTTTTATCACCAGAATATATACGTATCTGACCTCTTCTGATTGAAATTTGTTCCCCTTTATGGAGACAATAGGAACATCCATATATACCATTAAATTGTTTTATGTTTTGAATAAGTGGTCTAGCTACTGTATCTACACTTGCGAGAAGTGCATAAACTTTTATGTGTATAGGTTCTTTGTGTTCAAGTGTGGCACACCAAAACCCGTTGGTTTGTAATTCCAAAAGTTCATCTATGAATGGACGCAAGAACAAATCCATTGGTGGTTTTTTCTTATAAAACCATAATCCACAAAGCAAAATATTTTCTCTTCTAAGTCGGTATGGTAATTCATTTATACATACTTGAATGGGCCATATATTGTACATGGATGAATTAAATATTTCTACACCATCTGTATTCCATTGAATAGTAATATCGTTGTCACATATAACATTTTGTTCTTTTAAATGACGATAAAGTGTTCCATCTACGATATCACTTTCAATGGGACAAGTTTTTCTACATTGTGTAAATAATTTAGAATTTAATAATTCAATCAACTGCGGTTTTAATGGAAAATGATAAAAAAAATTAAAATTTTTTTGTAATTGGATTTGTTCGTAACGTTCTTTACAATTATTACATTCAATAATAATATCATGATGAAATGTCAATATAGTAAAACACGTTGGACAAAAATAATATTTACAAGAAATCACCTTTGGAAAGAACTGTAGAAAATGATACTTTGAGTGATGCACTTTAAATGGCAAATGGCAATCAATAATTTGAAGTAAAGCTTGCAATCCGGTGTCAGTCAATTTGTTTTTAACTGCCAAACTCATTAGTAATAATTGGCTTTCCTCTTTACTTAAATCACATCCTTCATATATGGGAAATTCAATGTGTTTCTGCAAGAAAATAATATATGCTTATGTATATACATAGTCTATTTTTATATACATATATATAAGTATATGTATATATATATATGTATATACATATATACATGGTATCCGCTAATAATCATATTTTTGATTCTATACAGGTAGAAGGTATCAAACTGAACAAATAAAATTTAAAAATTTTTACAATAATCGATGAATTAAAAAACTTGCCATAAATATAACATAGTTAAGTTCTGATTTTATATACCACATGTATTGAAAAAAGGAATACTTTTTAAAGAAAAGAATGTTTTTTAAAAAATGTTCATTTTTCTCACTTTTGCACACATCTGATATGTAAAATTTGAACTTTGCTTTGTATTGTAAAATTACCTGCAAATGTTTTTGATATTCTTGATTTTCATTTTCTTCATTATCAGAATTATTATTTTCATAAATCTCTCCATTATCGCTATAAAAATTAATTTCATTATTGTCATTTTCATTGTTAGAAGTATAACAATCATTTCCATCTTCAAAAAAATTATCAGAATAATATTCATCTTCATCTTTAAAAGAATAATCATGTTCATCTTCATCTTCAGATAAGTAATAGTGTTCATTTCCATCTTCAGCTAAATAATCCTGTTCATCTCTGTCTTCTTCAGATTCACTACTTTTATTTTCATTGTTACATTCAGTATTGTGAATCATGTTTACTTCTTCAAAAGATTCTTGGAAAGAATGCTCTTCAATTGTCATATCACTTTGTTCACACGAATTAATTTCTTCATTAAGGTACATTTCCATCTACAAATTATATATAAATATGTACAAATGTGAAAAGTGAAAAATTTCTCAGCGATTCCATCAATCACGCCTTGATTTCCACAATGAAAATATTCACTTTTCACGTTTTCACTCTAAACCAAGTTTTTACTTATCTTACATGATCGATATCCTGATGTTTAGATCACTTTATATAAAGCAAATAGAAAAAGAAAAATATGACTACCTGTGTCGCTATTTTCTGTTCTTTTGCTCTTACTACGCGAGAATATTTTGTTGTTGTGGGAATTTCTTCAGAGTCGTCTGTTAGATATCTTTTATAAGGTCCTCTTTTTCCTTTTGCCATTATTTATAAATACATAGACGTTCCTTTCTATTTTTTGTGTGCAATAGTTCCTCAACTTGTTGCTTAATATTTCAGCAAAATATGTATGTTCCGTATATTATCACTCGTTTACTTTATTTTACATTTGTGTAAACACCGACCAAAATTTCACAATCTATTGTAATGTATACGATACTCTTTCTCAAAAATACGAACAACTTAATCTCCATTCGAGCGATGCATTAAACCAATGTCGTAAAAAATAAGATGGCTACAATATTTCTGCCCGCTGCCTACTGCCCGCTATCAGAGCATGTGGAGGGGGTACGCAACAAAGAAGAAGTTGAATCAGATACCGTTAAACCGCACATGCGTACACATATGTATATCTCCTCCTATAGGTGCGTTCCGTTTCACGCATATGCGCGCATTTATCTATAATATACGTCACATGTACTATAGAAAATGCGCGCATATGCGTAAAACGGAACGCACCTTATGTCTATGTCTGACAGCGGACAGTGTCAGTTATTATTTTAGCGCGTTTTATTTGGGCGCCATTCAATCTCAAGCAAGATCTAGGTATCGATTCTGTAATTTCTTCTAAAGTAAAAATGTGAAAAGTGAAAAATTTCCGCCAATCACAAATTGAATTTAAAATGAAATCGATATGCGATTGGTGGAAATTTTTCACTTTTCACGTTTTCACTTTAGAAAAAGTTACAGAATCGATACCCTAGTGCGTCACTCATATTCCTGAGGAAGAGCGTATCACACGCATTGTTAACGATTTTTTGAATCAGTGTTATACATAAATATAAGAGGAAGTGTGAACGAGAGCGACAATAATACACCATCAAACTGACAAATTTAGCCATAACAATAAGCAAGAGGCAAAGCCAAGTTGAGAAAAGGAAATGGATAATAACAAATGTCTTTTGTTGGAATTTGTTAACGAAGATAAAAAAATTGCTGTCGGTTATCAAGATTGGTTGCAAGATAAAATAAGTGGAGAAAAAAAATACTTAGATATAATCGAAAAGAAAAGTGAAGTAAAAATAAAATGGCCTAATTGTGACATTGCACCAGCGTTGATAATGAAAAAAAGAGTGAAAACATGTGAATGGAAGACAGTTGTAGCAAGGATACTTTCTTTTGGTGGTATGTATATACATATATAACTAATATACATATACAGTGCTGGACAAATTAAATCATACACTTTACAATAAATTGAATTTGTTAGTGTAACTGTTTTTTAACAAGCAAATGGATTATTAGGTACAGAAAAATCAAAGCATTTCAAAGTATTTAAATAAAGGAAATATGAAATAACAAAATTGTTTTTAATTTTTATTGTAAAAAAATTATTCAATATTGTTAAAAAAATAGTTACACTTACAAATTCAATTTATTATAAAGTGTATGATTTATTTTGTCCAGCACTGTATATAACAAGATATTTTTAAAATCAATTATAATTTATACTTATAGCATTATAGCTTTATAGCATTATACTATTTTTATTTCAAAATTTAAGAATGGACCAAAATGTGCCAACAACGAGACAATTTGGAAATATATGGAATTTTAGAAGCAACTAAAGAGGAAAGAAAATCAATGTGTAAGAAACAATGGAGCGATGATGAAGAGCCAGAGGATAGTCAGAGAAAAAAGGTTGTTACGTTCACTAAATTTTATAAATTCTTTTCTTATTATTTATATTACTTGTGTTCTTAATATATATAAATCTTTATTTTCTCTAAAAATAGAAATACAAAAAAAAAGAGATGAACATTGAAACCAAATCTTCAAAATTATGGAAAGAATTGAAAACACGTAAAACACAAGTATCTATAGTAAATTTTCTTTATATTTATATTTGAAAAAAGTAATATAATATTCCAACATTAATTTTGAATTTTTTTTTAATGTAGATAGAGTCCGAACAATCTTCAGATGATGACAGCTCTTCAAAAATGTCGCAACATTTTATACAAGAGAACAAAACTTTGAAAAAAGAAAATAATGACTTAAAAAACGAAAATGTGGCACTACGTATTTCACTTGCTTGTATAGAAAGTATGTATCTTATTTGAAATTATATATTATTTTACATACTACATAAGCAAAAATATGTTACAAAGAACTAATTTTATATTTAATTTTTAGATTTGCCGAAAATAAACAATTTGGTGGAAACCATACTTCTTAAAACAGAAAAAATACATGATAAAATAGATTTAATTACGGATTCCAACGGAAACAATTTGATGGAAAATGACATACTTCTCACAACAGAAAAAATATACAAAAATGATTTATTTGCGAAGGTAAAATATATATATTAAAATATCTTTAAAAAAATCTATCATTAATTTTTTTTATACAATTAAAAATTTCGTATATTTTATTTTGTTCAATGGAATCAATTTTATATGTAACGAAATATTTTTCTAATTTATTATTATTTATAAGAAATTATTAATAAGTTTAAATAAAAATTTAATTTGTATTAATATTAAAATATATAATAATATTTAATATTATTAATAATTATTAATATTAAATTTTATTATAAATTAAAAAAATGTATATAATACTCAGAAATAAATATTTTTATCGGCTCTAGATATAAACATGATGTGTTCTAAATCGGCCTAAGAGCCAAAGCACGAAAAATTAATTAATTAATTAATTTTTCGTGCTTTGGCTCTTAGGCCGATTTAGAACACATCATGTTTATATCTAGAGCCGATAAAAATATTTATTTCTGAGTATTATATACATTTTTTTAATTTATAATAAAATTTAATATTAATAATTATTAATAATATTAAATATTATTATATATTTTAATATTAATACAAATTAAATTTTTATTTAAACTTATTAATAATTTCTTATAAATAATAATAAATTAGAAAAATATTTCGTTACATATAAAATTGATTCCATTGAACAAAATAAAATATACGAAATTTTTAATTGTATAAAAAAAATTAATGATAGATTTTTTTAAAGATATTTTAATATATATATTTTTACCTTCGCAAATAAATCATTTTTGTATATTTTTTCTGTTGTGAGAAGTATGTCATTTTCCATCAAATTGTTTCCGTTGGAATCCGTAATTAAATCTATTTTATCATGTATTTTTTCTGTTTTAAGAAGTATGGTTTCCACCAAATTGTTTATTTTCGGCAAATCTAAAAATTAAATATAAAATTAGTTCTTTGTAACATATTTTTGCTTATGTAGTATGTAAAATAATATATAATTTCAAATAAGATACATACTTTCTATACAAGCAAGTGAAATACGTAGTGCCACATTTTCGTTTTTTAAGTCATTATTTTCTTTTTTCAAAGTTTTGTTCTCTTGTATAAAATGTTGCGACATTTTTGAAGAGCTGTCATCATCTGAAGATTGTTCGGACTCTATCTACATTAAAAAAAAATTCAAAATTAATGTTGGAATATTATATTACTTTTTTCAAATATAAATATAAAGAAAATTTACTATAGATACTTGTGTTTTACGTGTTTTCAATTCTTTCCATAATTTTGAAGATTTGGTTTCAATGTTCATCTCTTTTTTTTTGTATTTCTATTTTTAGAGAAAATAAAGATTTATATATATTAAGAACACAAGTAATATAAATAATAAGAAAAGAATTTATAAAATTTAGTGAACGTAACAACCTTTTTTCTCTGACTATCCTCTGGCTCTTCATCATCGCTCCATTGTTTCTTACACATTGATTTTCTTTCCTCTTTAGTTGCTTCTAAAATTCCATATATTTCCAAATTGTCTCGTTGTTGGCACATTTTGGTCCATTCTTAAATTTTGAAATAAAAATAGTATAATGCTATAAAGCTATAATGCTATAAGTATAAATTATAATTGATTTTAAAAATATCTTGTTATATACAGTGCTGGACAAAATAAATCATACACTTTATAATAAATTGAATTTGTAAGTGTAACTATTTTTTTAACAATATTGAATAATTTTTTTACAATAAAAATTAAAAACAATTTTGTTATTTCATATTTCCTTTATTTAAATACTTTGAAATGCTTTGATTTTTCTGTACCTAATAATCCATTTGCTTGTTAAAAAACAGTTACACTAACAAATTCAATTTATTGTAAAGTGTATGATTTAATTTGTCCAGCACTGTATATGTATATTAGTTATATATGTATATACATACCACCAAAAGAAAGTATCCTTGCTACAACTGTCTTCCATTCACATGTTTTCACTCTTTTTTTCATTATCAACGCTGGTGCAATGTCACAATTAGGCCATTTTATTTTTACTTCACTTTTCTTTTCGATTATATCTAAGTATTTTTTTTCTCCACTTATTTTATCTTGCAACCAATCTTGATAACCGACAGCAATTTTTTTATCTTCGTTAACAAATTCCAACAAAAGACATTTGTTATTATCCATTTCCTTTTCTCAACTTGGCTTTGCCTCTTGCTTATTGTTATGGCTAAATTTGTCAGTTTGATGGTGTATTATTGTCGCTCTCGTTCACACTTCCTCTTATATTTATGTATAACACTGATTCAAAAAATCGTTAACAATGCGTGTGATACGCTCTTCCTCAGGAATATGAGTGACGCACTAGGGTATCGATTCTGTAACTTTTTCTAAAGTGAAAACGTGAAAAGTGAAAAATTTCCACCAATCGCATATCGATTTCATTTTAAATTCAATTTGTGATTGGCGGAAATTTTTCACTTTTCACATTTTTACTTTAGAAGAAATTACAGAATCGATACCTAGATCTTGCTTGAGATTGAATGGCGCCCAAATAAAACGCGCTAAAATAATAACTGACACTGTCCGCTGTCAGACATAGACATAAGGTGCGTTCCGTTTTACGCATATGCGCGCATTTTCTATAGTACATGTGACGTATATTATAGATAAATGCGCGCATATGCGTGAAACGGAACGCACCTATAGGAGGAGATATACATATGTGTACGCATGTGCGGTTTAACGGTATCTGATTCAACTTCTTCTTTGTTGCGTACCCCCTCCACATGCTCTGATAGCGGGCAGTAGGCAGCGGGCAGAAATATTGTAGCCATCTTATTTTTTACGACATTGGTTTAATGCATCGCTCGAATGGAGATTAAGTTGTTCGTATTTTTGAGAAAGAGTATCGTATACATTACAATAGATTGTGAAATTTTGGTCGGTGTTTACACAAATGTAAAATAAAGTAAACGAGTGATAATATACGGAACATACATATTTTGCTGAAATATTAAGCAACAAGTTGAGGAACTATTGCACACAAAAAATAGAAAGGAACGTCTATGTATTTATAAATAATGGCAAAAGGAAAAAGAGGACCTTATAAAAGATATCTAACAGACGACTCTGAAGAAATTCCCACAACAACAAAATATTCTCGCGTAGTAAGAGCAAAAGAACAGAAAATAGCGACACAGGTAGTCATATTTTTCTTTTTCTATTTGCTTTATATAAAGTGATCTAAACATCAGGATATCGATCATGTAAGATAAGTAAAAACTTGGTTTAGAGTGAAAACGTGAAAAGTGAATATTTTCATTGTGGAAATCAAGGCGTGATTGATGGAATCGCTGAGAAATTTTTCACTTTTCACATTTGTACATATTTATATATAATTTGTAGATGGAAATGTACCTTAATGAAGAAATTAATTCGTGTGAACAAAGTGATATGACAATTGAAGAGCATTCTTTCCAAGAATCTTTTGAAGAAGTAAACATGATTCACAATACTGAATGTAACAATGAAAATAAAAGTAGTGAATCTGAAGAAGACAGAGATGAACAGGATTATTTAGCTGAAGATGGAAATGAACACTATTACTTATCTGAAGATGAAGATGAACATGATTATTCTTTTAAAGATGAAGATGAATATTATTCTGATAATTTTTTTGAAGATGGAAATGATTGTTATACTTCTAACAATGAAAATGACAATAATGAAATTAATTTTTATAGCGATAATGGAGAGATTTATGAAAATAATAATTCTGATAATGAAGAAAATGAAAATCAAGAATATCAAAAACATTTGCAGGTAATTTTACAATACAAAGCAAAGTTCAAATTTTACATATCAGATGTGTGCAAAAGTGAGAAAAATGAACATTTTTTAAAAAACATTCTTTTCTTAAAAAGTATTCCTTTTTCAATACATGTGGTATATAAAATCAGAACTTAACTATGTTATATTTATGGCAAGTTTTTTAATTCATCGATTATTGTAAAAATTTTTAAATTTTATTTGTTCAGTTTGATACCTTCTACCTGTATAGAATCAAAAATATGATTATTAGCGGATACCATGTATATATGTATATACATATATATATATACATATACTTATATATATGTATATAAAAATAGACTATGTATATACATAAGCATATATTATTTTCTTGCAGAAACACATTGAATTTCCCATATATGAAGGATGTGATTTAAGTAAAGAGGAAAGCCAATTATTACTAATGAGTTTGGCAGTTAAAAACAAATGACTGACACCGGATTGCAAGCTTTACTTCAAATTATTGATTGCCATTTGCCATTTAAAGTGCATCACTCAAAGTATCATTTTCTACAGTTCTTTCCAAAGGTGATTTCTTGTAAATATTATTTTTGTCCAACGTGTTTTACTATATTGACATTTCATCATGATATTATTATTGAATGTAATAATTGTAAAGAACGTTACGAACAAATCCAATTACAAAAAAATTTTAATTTTTTTTATCATTTTCCATTAAAACCGCAGTTGATTGAATTATTAAATTCTAAATTATTTACACAATGTAGAAAAACTTGTCCCATTGAAAGTGATATCGTAGATGGAACACTTTATCGTCATTTAAAAGAACAAAATGTTATATGTGACAACGATATTACTATTCAATGGAATACAGATGGTGTAGAAATATTTAATTCATCCATGTACAATATATGGCCCATTCAAGTATGTATAAATGAATTACCATACCGACTTAGAAGAGAAAATATTTTGCTTTGTGGATTATGGTTTTATAAGAAAAAACCACCAATGGATTTGTTCTTGCGTCCATTCATAGATGAACTTTTGGAATTACAAACCAACGGGTTTTGGTGTGCCACACTTGAACACAAAGAACCTATACACATAAAAGTTTATGCACTTCTCGCAAGTGTAGATACAGTAGCTAGACCACTTATTCAAAACATAAAACAATTTAATGGTATATATGGATGTTCCTATTGTCTCCATAAAGGGGAACAAATTTCAATCAGAAGAGGTCAGATACGTATATATTCTGGTGATAAAAAAGCAATGCGAAGGATGAAGCAGCATTATAAATACGTTGAGAAAGCTATTAATGAAGGAAGACCAATAAAAGGTGTTAAAGGACCTTCAATAGTAATGTTTTTATCTACTTTTCATATTATTCATTCTTTTCCACCAGAATATATGCATTCAGTTTTATTAGGTGTCACAAAATTATTTGGAACATTGTGGTTTGACTCAGCTAATAGTAATAAAGATTGGTATTTAGGTTTAAGAGTGAGTGAATTTAATAATAAATTATTGGCTATACGGCCTCCATGTGAAATTACAAGAACGCCACAATCCATAAAAAATAAAAATGGAAGGCAAACGAATGGAAATCTTTTTTATTATATTATTCGCTCATTTGCTTGATTGATATAATGCCACGGAAATATGTTAAACATTGGTTACTGTTTGTATATAGCATTTATATATTTTCCAAAACAAAATTTACAGACAATGAGTTGATAAAGCGGAAAAAGCACTTCATCAATTTGTTTTAAATATCGAGTTACTTTATGGAAAAGAAAACATGAAATATAATGTACATATGATGCTACATATGCCAGACTATGTAAGAAAATACGGTGCTGTATGGGCATGGTCAGCATTTCCATTTGAGCATTTTAATGGTATAATAGCAAAAATGTTTCATGGAAAGTCAATACGTGCCATCACAAATTTGTAAAATTTTATTCCAGAATAAGATATATAAAAAAAAATTCAGAAATTTTAGTAGCCTAATTGTAGTAAAGAAGGAAAAAAATTGTTTTTTAAAAACATTATGAAAGAACACTAAAATATAAAATGTATAAGATATGGAGATGACTTGAGAATATTTGGAAACCTGCAGATATAACTTTATCATTGTCTCAAAAATTGTGGTTGAGCAGTTATTACAAGAAACATAACAGAAACGTTAAGTTATTTTATGAGATTTTCTTATAAAAATACTTTTTATCATAGTTACAAATATTCTCGTTATTATAAAAGAAACAATAGCACAGTGATATTACATAATGGAAAATAATGCTAATTTCAGGTCTAATTTTATTAAATACTAGAAACAACACCACTATATTGTCCTTGGTAAAAAATTTCAAATATTAGACGAAGAACTTTGTAAGCACAAAGGTAATCAACGAAAATGTTTTCATGTTTTCATTTATAGCACGAGAAACAAATATGAGATTATTTGTTTCCTTCAGACTTTGATAAAAAAGTTGTAGTATATTTTATAAAGAAGATAATATTATATATTGTGCCTTTGGTAAATACTGTAGAAATTGATTAATCAATATTTTTATTATTTTAATCATAA